TTTTTGTTCAGATCACATTAATTTATTACTTGCTGTTTTATATTTCAATTGAACTGTAAAGTGCTGTGAAATATGTTGGCATTGTATAAATCCATCTCACCGCCATGAAGAACAGGAAAAGCCAACATTGAAGGACACCTGATGATTAGGACTTCTAAATGATCATCCGGTGAATGGGAATAGACACTATATATATATATATGTATATATATCAAAATCTGACACTCTACCTCAATATATACGAAAATAACATGGACCAACCAGGTGCTTCCAAGCGCTGTGTTTAGCACTGGGATTTTAAACATGTATTTCAAAATAATAACATTAACGTTTTAAGTCTCCTGGTAAACTTGTTGAAACGTAGATGTTATTATTTTGAAATAAATGTTTGAAATCCCAGAGAGTGCTTTCGTTTTGTTTTGATATATATATATAGTAGAATGCTGGAGCATTACAGGCACGCGCAGAAGTACTGACTCGATATACTAAGGAAAATATTAATGGAGCGGACAGAAGTCATTATTATTATTATGATATTTATAGAGTGCCGTCAAATTCCGCAGCGCTTTACAATGGGTGGACGAACAGACATGTAGTTGTAACCAGACAAGTTGAACACACAGGAACAGAGGTGTTGAGGGCCCTGCTCAATGAGCTTACATGCTAGAGGGAGTGGGGTAAAATGACACAAAAAGGTAAGGATAGTATTAGACTAATGACAGTTGCAAAAGAGAGGAATCAGTCGTGAGCTATTAACAGTTTAATTGATATGCTTTTATGAAGAAGTGGGTTTTTAATGATTTTTTGAAGGAGTGGAGACTGGGTGAGCATCTAACGGAGGAGGGAAGCGAGTTCCACAGGAACGTTGCAGCCCTTGAGAAGTCTTGAAGGCGAGCATCAGAGGTGGGAGTACGGACAGAAGACGTAAGTCTTCAGCAGATCGTAAGGGCCTAGACGGGACATGCTTGTGTATAAGGGAGGATAGATAGGTGGGAGCAGCATTATGTAGAGATTTGAAAGCAAGAACCAGAATTTTAAATTGAGCTCTATATTTTATAGGAAGCTAATGTAGGGACTGACAGAAGGGTGAGGCATGGGAGGTGCAGGAAGATGAGCCTTGCCGCCGCATTCATTATGGACTGTAACGGCGCAAGTTGGGAGCAAGTAAGACCACTGAGAAGCGGATTACAGTAGTCAAGGCGAGAAAGGACAGTGGAATGGACCAACACCTTTGTCGCATCTGGCGTTAAGTAGGGGCGGATGCGTGCAATGTTTTTGAGATGGAAATGACAGGATTTGGCGATAGATTGATCATGAGGCTTGAAGGACAGGTCGGAGTCAAAGAGAACACCTAGGCAGCGAGCCTGCGTGGTGGAGCTGATGGTAGCACCGTTGACTTGGAGGGAGACAGACACAGGAGTAACAACACTTGAGGGAGGAAATACCAGAATTTCAGTTTTGGTCAAGTTTAGTTTAAGGAAGTGGGCAGCCATCCAGTTAGAAACAGCAGAGAGGCAGTCAGAGACACTAGTCAAGAGGGACGGGGAGAGATCAGGAGAGGACAGATAGATTTGCGTGTCTTCTGCATAGAAATTATATTGGAAGCCAATAGAGCTACCTCACTGGCCCAGGAGATCATAGTTTCATATGCTTCTACAACTAGCCAGATCAGATCCTAACCCTTGATAGAGATCAAGGACCTTCTCACCCAAAGCACCATAGATTACCCGAACCTCACAGCCTACACCTGACCAAGGAATTCAGTCATTTAAACTCTTAAGCGCAGGAAAAAAGAAAATGTTATCACAGGATTTGGGACATATTTTCCAATTGGGCCATTAAAAAACGTGTGGATCCCACCAACATTTCTTCAGTGGATGTTCTTAGCTTCCTTCAAAAAGGTCTCAGTTTAAATATACTATGAAAGTTCACATCTCTGCTATATCAACCCTGTTTGATTTCAAATGGGCTCATGCAACTCATTAGAGGTGTCCTGCATATCCGTCCTCCCATACCTTGGGATATTCGAGTGGTCCTCTCGGCACTTCAAAACCATCTGTTTGAACTGCTAGAATCAATTCCTCTACACATCCTTTGCCACAAAATGGCATTAATGATGGCTTTGGCCGCAGAATTTTTGAGAGTCCATACAGTCTCTTTTACGATGACAAAGTCATCTTACGTATGGTACCAAAATTCCGACCCAAGTTGGTCTTAGTGCTCCATATGAACTAATATATTGTTATGCCTCCTGCTGGGAATTACCAACCTAAACTGCATAGCCTGCATCCTGTCAGATGTTTGTCCAGCCATGTAGTTGTACCTTCTGGTTCCAACAAGGGAGAAAAGTCTTCCTATAAAACCATCTGGATATCGCTAGTATCTACTATCTTTGCTGCCTACAAAGCCAAGAATGTCCCAGTGCCTCCAGGTTTACTAGCAAACTCCACAAGGGCACAGTTATCATCCTGAACAGCTGCAGTTAGTGTTACTCTTGATAAGATCTGCCAGTCAGCTACCTAGTCAAATATTTCGACATTTCTGACGCACTACAGCCTGGATATTCCGGGTGTAGTGCTTTGGCATTTGAAAAACTTGTATGTTTTCTACATTAAGCCATTTGTAGCATGTATATGTTCCGAGTCTTATTTATGCCAGGAAACAGGAACATTTACTTCTAACTTACCAATATTTTCCTTTCCCAGCTTTATGCCATGGCAGCACTACGCTTCCCACCCTGTATTGTGGTTTTTACAAGGACTTTATAATAGACTGTGGGATAATGTAAAGGGTGGCTTTTTTAAAATTACCTGTCCAGTAGGAGTTGGGGAGGGATTAATCCATGAGTAATTGCTGCCATGGCATATTGACGGGAAAGGAAAATATCAGTCAGTATGATGTCAATTTCCCTGTTTTTCACCCATTGACACTTGAGGAACTACAACTAAATATCCAGTTCTCACACGAAGATGCTATTTCTTATCTCTTGAAACTGAGCAAATGTTTTCTTACAATGAATTTGTTACACTGTTCTTCCTTATCTTTGATCCCAGCTGCTACTCCCCCTCTTCCGAAGCCCTCCAGACTATGAAAGGGAGTCACTTAAAGGGGAACTGTTCTGATAGAGACAGCTCTACATTGCCTCATAATCATAATTTCTACAGCCTTCTACCATTTAAAGTAGCTTTAAGCACCCGAGGATCCTCTGCTTACCTCACCAGACTGCGTCCGCATGATGTATTCCTAGTACTATAAGCTCCCTCGTGCCCCCTTTATCTCCCTTGCGGCCGCAAACACATTGGGCTCTCCCAACGGGAAAACATTGCTTTCCTATGGGGATTTTACGGACGCTGGATGTCCTGATACAGGACGTGCTCAAGTATCAGTTAAGGGACCAAAAGTCACCTAACCACCAGGAAGGGCCTCGAGTGGCTGTCTGACAGCCACTTGAGGCAGTCTTATCCCTGAAACATAATTATTGCAGTTTCACAGAAACTGCAATCATGAGTGCAGGGCAACTGCCCCCATGCCAGTTAAATGAGTTGAATTGGTCTGGGTGTCTGTAGAGTCCCTTTAAAATTGTACATTCGGCCTTTGTTCAGCCACATTTCATATTGCTGTTTCAACACAGTCAGACTTGCTACATATTGAGTTTATAGACTATTAGCCTTGGTACATATTCTCTGAGTTTATGTACTTTCAGCATACATTTGGCCATGCTAAATTGTTTTACTGTGAACTTAATACATTAGGTGACACTAGATAGTCACTTGTTTTATTACATTTGGCCACAATATATTGTGTTGGCTTTGTAATTCGGCCTACATTAGGCCATGCTACAAAGTCAAATTTGTTTAGTACTATTGGCTTACGATCGACTGCACTACTCTTTCCGTTCGGCTCAGAACATTTAGCATAGATTCGGGCACAAACTATTTTTCAATTTGGTTCAGTACATTTGGCCACGATACATTTTCATCTTGATTTAAGTACGTTCGGTCAAAATTCAGCCATGTTCTGGTTAGTGCATTCGGCAATGCTACATGTTCACAAGTCCTGCATCCCTTATATAATTTGCAGGTTACAATACAACACCATCAACGTTACCATCTAAAATGAAAATTCTAATTTAAGGTAGATGAACTGGGGAAAAAGAAAAAAAAAATTCCTAAAATCAGGTATGCTGTCAGTTCAACTACTATGGTCTTAAATATGAAATTTCCTTTTAATTCTGTTAGTAAATAACCGTGCTTGTGTTTGCACACAATAGACAGACATTTTAAAATTATATGTGCCTGCTACCTTGTTGAATGAAAGCAGTTGTAATATGCATAATACCATCTCGTGAAAAGCCAACCATTTTTGAATAATATATGTAGTAAGAAGATATTTTATATACCTTTTCTCCATCACTGCTCCACGGGAAAGCACAAATGCTGCACCTCCTCAGAGATACGGTGGATAAATGGTCCTCTATGGAAGTGTGCAACATCTCCACCCTCTGAGACACTGAATGCAGGTCCTGCAAAGATTGCAGGATCTAACACAGGAAGTACCCCTAGTGGTGTTACTAGGCAGCAATGTAAACACTGGATTTTCAAAGGAGGCTTCAGAGACCAATTGTAGATGCCAGAACCACTACATTAAACTTTAGTGGTTCTGGTGACTAATGTTCCTTTAATATTGATCATCTTTAATACGGTTATTTACGCTTTGTAGAATGTGAGTATTTGTGAAGAGTAAATATGCTGTAGTCTGGGCTACAATATTTAATGTGTGTGTTAGGAAATCATCCCCTCCATGCTGCTTACAGATAACGTGATGAAGGCCCAAGTAACCTTGTCTGTATTGTACTGGTAAAATATGTAATATAATGAAATTGTACAAAAAAAAAAAAAAAATCTGCCAGATTTGAATCACCCCCTTCAAACAGTTTGGTATTCCAATCAAATGCTGGTAAACAATCAAAACTTGCATAATAGAGATAAGGCACAAAAATAAATAATTAACTCAAATAACAGCTATGTTTATTTGCTGGATTCAAAAATACTCAAACGTGACAGTTCCTCTTTAACTCATTTCCAAAATTTGTTTTTTTCTAACAGGTACATACAGAAGATTCAATAAAGAGGAAAAAAAATAAAATTGTATTCAACAAAACATTCTAACTTTTTATGTATTAATAACCCTGTTTTCAAGAAGAGGCAGACATTTTGATTTGCTATCCTGAATTCGTATTGGTGTCCAGGAATCCCCAGATTTACACAATATAACCGTATTAGCGCTATTAACATTGGGCACACTATTTTTGCACTTAACTATGTAAATAGCACAGTTAAAAAATGGGATTCTTCACAATCAAAAATCATATTGATTTAAGACAAAGATTGCATTGTTGGGCACACAACTGGAGGTACAAACAGAAAAAGAATGGGGGGGGGGTGGGAGAAAAAAAAAATAAAAACAAAAAAAACAAAAAAACAAACTTCAAGCATTTATCTAGCTTGGATTATATCAGATTGAAAGTTTTATGTTTTAGAAGGATCCTGTGAAACCATTTCACAAGGCAGACTCATTTTGCAAATTGAATTTTTAGAGTAAATTTGCACCATGTCAAAAAAAAATGAAAAAGTTACAAGTTTACATCCTGCCAAACACTGCTTATTTTGGAAGAATGCCGTCCAGAGTTGGGTTTATATTTCTTGATCCAATTCCAAAAATAAATAGAGTCTTTCAACTGAAAGAATATATAAAAACTTCCCCAGACGTCCAATAGACACAAACTGCCCTCTTGTTTGTTTTCAGCGTTCTCTCAGTTAATCTGAGCATCCTATTATGTTGTTTCCTCAGTTGTTGTCTCATGGTGATGAATACGAAACACGTTTCTCTGCGCTATCAGACGCTCAGTCTGTTTCCATGGCAGTGCTGCGGGATTCCCTGGCAACCATTACTCTCATCAGCTGACTGTGGAATTTCTCAATCCTCTTTACATCCTGCGCCTGGTCGGTCCTGTACAATAAACACTGAAAAGAGAAAAATAAGATGCCTATTCATGTTCCACATGCCATAAGTCTTTCACCAGATTCTTTAATCTTTATACTAAATGGAAATTTAACAGTGTTCCATCCAAGAAGCAGAAGATTGGGTCTCTTGTTTCCACTTGAAGCCAGATGAGGGGGACATACCAAATTACTGTAATGTAAGTGTTTGCCATGATCAGCTACAGACAAGTAAATGTCCATTCCCTGTCTCATACTGTAAAGTAGAAGTCCAGCGGTTTGCTCAAATTTAGCATGTCCCCTCCGGTCTAACCTCCCTCCACCAATTTGTTTTCAATACATTTGCCAAAAGAAGTCATATCAACCTCGCTTCTCTCTTTATAAAACCCAAAAGCCATGATGCAAATCTAGAACACAGTCATACTACACCCTTCACTAGGTCTTTTGATCCCCAAGTAGCATCCTAACCGCCCTCTGCATTCACATTATAAACTCCTCTCTGAACGTAGGTTTAATGAAACCAGAGGGAAAAGAAAAACCCACAATACATAAAAGCTTATCGTTTAGTCCGCAGGGGTATTAGAAAATGCTAGAATCTCACAAAAAAAAAAAAAAAAAAAAAGACTCAAAACTGGTTTTAAACGAAGTACAGGAAATTCTTAATACATATTATGACTCAGAAGTTCAGCACTGAGTACTGATAGAAGTTATCCATATAACAGACAGCCTACTAGTTCCAAAAGGTGCCACAGAAAGTTGATAAAATAAAAAATACTTTATTTTAATTATAAACAAAGAAAGGCACTATATATATGGAGAATCAGACTTAGGACTCAAAATTAATATGGATAAATATACCAAGTATCAACAGCAGAAGAGGCTTACTAAGTTACTAGCCTCAAAAATGGGGTAGAGCTAATAGCCATAATACAGGCAACCAGAGGATAACAAAAGGGATGTATATATAAAATGAATCTGCCCTATTGCTCCTAAATGAAACACCTGTGCTGTCCCTAGTAGTGTATAGCGAGGAATCACACCTCATTAAGGGATGCTTTAAAGGGCAGCAATAGAAGGAGAGATGTAGATCCAAAATACAATCACCTATAGCTCCTAAAATAAACACCTTCAAGGGTGTTCTATGCTGTCCCTGAAGGAAAGATGAAAAAGGAGAAAATCCCTCTGACAGTCTCCCCTAAGTCACATAACTCAGTGCTGAAATAAAATAACAGAGTGAATCAAAGACCTAGTGCCACCATGTGTAAAAAAAGTGAGAGAGCTAACAAAGAACCCTTAAGTGATTACAATAGGGCCAAGCTTATAATGGGTCTAGATATAAAGTATTTCCAGCTGTCAGTGTCATGTTTTAGGGGAAAGAGGTTTATGGATTTGGCAGAGTCAAATTTACTCCTAAGAAATGGAACGTTTAAAAATGTCTACACTGATTAGAAGAGCAGGGCCCATGTATAGACAGACTAGGCATATTTTGTTTTCTGACAGGTCTGCTTGTAAATCCAGCTTAGGCTCCACACAGGCAGACCTGGGTAAGAGATTTTCCTGTTAGAAAATATTCTACACCCCCTCAAAATAATTAAACAAGAAAATGATGCTCCCACAAGCTACAGCATATGACATGCATGGTAAACAATGTACATGTGATGAAGTTGGAGGAAAGCACACTAATATGACTGGAAAAGCAGTTGAAATATTGGTAGACACATAATACATAAAGATTGGATATGGAGAAAGAAAAAAAAAGAAAAAAATTCTCACACAGAGTGCTAGGAAAATTTAAATTATGATGGGCTTTACTAGTTAGGAGTTTAAAAAGCCACCATGGTCAGAAAGTATCACTACTTACCACAACATCATCTGTTACTTTAATGCACAGGCTGCCATCACAGTGTCTGTACTTTAGCACCACGCGAACCTAGACAGAAAAGGATGGAAACAGAGACTGTTATCAATCAAGTGTTTAGTGAATACAATGTGTTAATCGCTGGGTAACATACCAATATAGCACAATAAATATAAATCCATAAATATAAATCCCTGTAAATAAATTACCATTTGAGGTCTTTTTTCTAAACACCCCCCCCCCCAAAAATAAATTAAAACAATTAAAAAAATAATAAAAAATAAACCCAAACTCTAAAAAAAAATAATCCATCTTAACCCAGCAAGGGCACGGCACAGACGGAGCTCCGCAGGGCGGGGAAACTCTTACAAAAGCCTTCCCACGCCCTGCAATTAGGCTCAGAGTGCTCTGATAGGTTGGTTAAAGCAACATCAAATGGTAAGTATTTTATTTATTTATAGGGATTCAGATTTATGGTCTCTCCCCTCACTAATTTTAGGGTGAGGGGGTTAGGTAGTACTTCACTTTTTTGGGGGGTGACTAGGGCACCCCTAGTCACCTGGGTTGTTTTTTGTTTTTTTTTCAGATTTAGCCCACACCATTCGCCCATGGGTGGGGGCTGGGGGACAATAGGTCACCCTCCCCATTTTCATTTAGGGCCCCCACTCACCACTCATGGGTGTGGGCCGGGTGGACAATAGGTCCAGTCACCCACCCGCCACTCATAGGTGGGAGGACAATAGGTCATGCTGCCCCACCCCCACCTTCATTTAGGGTCGCCACTCATGGGTGGGGGGGCCGGGGAGAGGACAATAGGTCCGCCCCCTCCCCATTTTCATTTAGGGCCCCCGACCGCCATGAGTGGCGGGTGGGAGCCCCGTTGCATAGCCCCCACTCGCGTAGCTCGGGGCAGAAACTATGTCCCCCATTTTAGAAGGGTGGGCTGCTCACCGTTTACAAGCTATGCCCCTACTTGCAATATAGCAAGTAGGGGCAAAATAATTACTAATACCAAGTAATTTTTACTTGGTATTAATAAAGCTGGCTGAAAGACCAATCTTGGTCTTTCAGCCTTCTGGTAGATAGCTTCCTGATATTATGGGAATTAGGGAGCTATCTACTAAGCGGCTGCAAGATGCAGCCGCCATTAGATCAGAAGTTCATTCATTCAAATTAAATTTCGAACCGAACTAAAGTCCTGAATTTTGTCCTAACACGAATGGACGAACTGCTCTCATTCTGTTACAGCAAAATTCGGTAGGTTTGCTGGTGTTTGGAAATATAGAAGGGCTGCATTGCGAGAACACAGGGGGAATTGAAAGAATTGTGGGAAAATTTCTCTGACCACAGGAAACTTGAGCACACTTTGCTCCTCCGTTGGTCAAAGATGGTCAGGCGTAAGAAACCTCCATAAGACAAGTAGTCCCTACTTTGTCTTATGTTTTAAAGAAAACTAGAGCAGACAGGAAGAAATAAAGAATAGATCCTGACAGAGGGAGAGAAAAGGAAGTGATTGGGGAAAGGCAAGTTCAGCACGATAGTCCCGCTTTAAATGCATATCTCCCATCTGAACTAAAACTCAGAGTTTAGCAGCTAAGAACAGGAACTGAAGACCAGCCACAGAGCAACTGGATGGCCATTCCTGCTTTATTGAAGCAGATACGGTCCTTACCCGCACTAAATGATCATTATACAGGGATTCCACACTTAGATGGTGACACAAATAGTTTCTAGTAGTATAGCACTAAAATTACAGCATAGAAACCAAGCAACAGCTCTCGATTTCCTTCCTCTCCTCCTCTTCCTAAAAATCAGGAAGGCAGCATAGATTACAAGGAGTTCCCCCTATGATAACACTGGTTGACACTGGAGAGCATGTTCACAAGACCATGCTTTTGTGCATGAGTGTCAATAACCAATGTCCATGCAGGCCAGTCTGGCCAGGGAGTGAGTGCCGCTGCATTGTGGCAACTGACATTTAATGTGGATAAGTGCAAGATAATGCATCTTGGACGTAAAAACCCAAGGGCAGAGTACAGAATATTTGATAGAGTCCTAACCTCAACATATGAGGAAAGGGATTTAGGGGTGATTATTTCTGATGACTTAAAGGTAGGCAGACAATGTAATAGAGCAGCAGGAAATGCTAGCAGAATGCTTGGTTGTATAGGGAGAGGTATTAGCAGTAGAAAGAGGGAAGTGCTCATGTCATTGTACAGAACACTGGTGAGACCTCACTTGGAGTATTGTACACAGTACTGGAGACCGTATCTTCAGAAGGATATTGATACCTTAGAGAGGGAGGGCTACTAAACTGTTTTTTATATGTTTTTATGTGGGTAGCTATGTCAGCATAACCCACCACTCGCAAAGTAAGAGTTTTTTACTGTTGTCTTTTAATAAAGTGTATTTGATACTATTCAATTGGAGGTCCTGCCTCTCTCTGTCCTATATTGCACAGCTTAACCAGTTTTCAAGTGAACACACCATTTGGAAGCCTACCAGTGTGGGAGTTTTCCCTCTCAAGTGGAGCATTACAAACCCAGAGCCAGGGGTGATAGGGCTCTGGTCAATGTGTTTTTTTCCCTTATACCCCCCTATATTAGTTCAGATGGTCTGCACTATTCTCTGTTTTTCTATATTTTCAGATCAGTTTAGCACGCTTTTGTGGTAATTTTTTTTTTTTTGTATTTGTGTATACTTCTGTATCACTGGGATCAAGTGCTGCCTTACTATATTTGTTATATCCTATAGCGCTGACACACTGTTGGTTTTGTTTAATGCACCAACAGCTTTAAAATAATGTATGAACTTAGAGTGCCCCCAGTTGGTTTAGAAAAGCACTATCATGACCCTCCACCAACCTTAAGATGCTGGCCAAGCATCACAAGTGTTATTGTTCTACGAACAGCTGGTGGGGTAATTGGCCACCTCTGCTATAGATGATTTCTCCAAGAAAAACATTGATCATCAGTGGTTGGGGGGGTGGGCAGATAGACTGCAGGAACTTAAAAAGGAAAACTCAAAGCTTTACAGCCTAGGAATAACATCATTGGCCACTCCTCAGATGGCTGCTAGAGGTGCTTCCTGGGGTAGTGCTGCAGTGTGACTGACATTCAGTGTCTCCACCTTCTGAATGCAGACACTGAACTTTACTCATAGAGATGCATTGATTAAATTAATTTCTATAAGGAGATGCTGACTGGCCAGGGCTGTGCTTGACTTGCCTCATTGACAGTCTCAGCCAATCCTATGGAAAGCAGTGTGATTGGCTCAGATCAACACTTCTGATGTCAGCCAAGCAGACAGATCAGAATAAAGTTAAGATTTTACTATATTTACAAGGCAGATGGCATTTTTAACGCTATAGGGTCCAGAATACAGGTTTGTTACCGATAGAGAATATGCGCAATATCCTCCCAATGCTTTGCTATGAGAAATCATAGGCTTAGCTGAGATCATAAAGATTGATGATCTCAGCTATAAAGGACAAGCTGCAGCGAAACTGGCACCGCGTGGGAAAAAGGGGGAGTAAAAAACACCTTTCATGCAATCAGAGGGGATCTTTCCCTGGGGTTCGGTGGGGCTGCTCTCTCATCCTGCACGTGAGGGAGCAGTAATCTACCTGCAGCTTCTCTATGCTCACTATAGTGATGACGGGGCCGGAATGACATATTTCAACTCCCAGCATCACTATACAGGGCGAGGGAACAGAAAGGAGCTGCAGGAAGATCATTGCTTCCTCGCGTGTGGGCGGCCGGCCACCTCCATGCACCCCAGGAAGGGAGGCTCCATGGAGGGAGGCGCCAGGGTGAAATTTATAGTCACAATGGCGACCTGGGATTTATCGAGCCCTGACTTATAGCAATGACAGACAGGGAGATAAGCTGGAGGTACACAGTTAAAAAAAAGGAATTATTGTTTTTTTTACATTTGTTAAACATGGCAGATAAGTAAACCATTTTTAAAAAACTGGTGATCGTTTCCCTTTAACAAGTTTAAAAGTTACTAACAAAGAATAATGGAAGGCCGGTGTGATTTAAAGAAAATGCATGATGCCTGTGCCACTATACACTACTATTAGACCCAGCACAACTAACGAACTCAAGACCAGAGGTTCCGTATACCATGACAGTTCTCAACACCAATGGCCATGAAGGTGTTAAAGATTCAGAACAAGACTGCACCCAGATATAGGGCACTTTTCTTGAAAGCATGCCATAAGATTAATGTAAATGGGATTACAGACACCTCCAGCACTGTACAGGAGAGATTTTTAGAGCAGGGGCGGCCAAAAATGTAGAATGACAAAGCATCATGGGAGAAGTAGCTTGATAACAGCTGGGTGCTACCCATCAGTCACCCAATTTAGACATCTTGCAACTGGAATGCTAAAATAAGCCATCTCAAAATCGTAACCCATTTATGTCTGGAATATTTCATTCTACTGTAAAAAAATAAAAATACAAAATCCATTCAGACATGTTCTGTTTCCATGGTAACAAGATCATTTTAAATCAGTCTAAAAATAGTGTACGGTGAGATTAACTGGCATTTTGCTGCCTAGTTTAGATCGTCCTTTTGAATACCATTAGCTCACAGAGGAAGCAGGTAATTTATAAAACACTGCACTTTCCATTTTGATATTCTACCAGCAGGTCACCATGTGAGGGGAATCAAAAATAATTCTACCTCTGGAGACTGACAGGTGACCTGACGTCTGTTAACTATTTTACTGCCAGAGGAATTGACAGTTTGTACATGGCCTCTACATACAGTTTGTGAGGCTACTAGCTGGCGGACTACAACTCCTAGAATTCTCCCAAATAAGATATAGCTGGAATAGTGGATAGCAGCAGATAAAAAAAAACAAAAAACAAACAAAAAAACAAAACACCAAGGACGTTAAAACGGACTAAATCTGTTAGAGAAATGGTTACTACATACACACACACGGAGTGATTCTTGGATTCTGTTCTGGTTCACACCAAGTAATTCAGCTAAGTCCATAATACGGCGTGTTCACAAATAAACTCTGCGCCTACGTATGTCCATAGACTAATCAGCCTGCAGTTATTTCTACAGATCTCAACCAATCCTTGGGACGAAGACAGCAAAAGAAAATAAAAAAGACCCACATCAGGTACATGTCACTTATCAGCTACACTGTACTGGATGGGACACATACACACTACCCAGCATGCACATGGGATCATGAATCTAAAGCCATGTGTTGTGATGTTTGCTTAAAGCAGTTATCAGATGCATATTCTTACTGCACGCCATCTGCAAACATGTAGAAGGCAGGAGGGAAATCAAATAGGACAGTAACTAAATGGCTGTTTTAAAACTTTTTTTATTGTAAGACTGAATATCAGATTTAATTTTACACAATATTTCCAGGCACAAAACCGTTATCTACTCTTCAATCTCCTTTCAAGGCGATCATAGTCTAACAGGATTATTCGCTAAAGTAAAACTTGCTGGAAATTTTAAAATGAAAGACAAAAAATAGCCAAACTGGATACAGAACAGACTTGGAGGCAATATAAGGCTTAAACTTGAAATTCACTGTAAATACCTGTCAATTCTCACCTTAGTGAATAACTCTTTAGGAGTCTAGAAGTAAAACAGGCAGGAGTAGATCATCGATATAGCACCTGTATAAACTTTCCTCCAGTTTTGGAATATAGATCATGTACCTGCAGTCTCACTCATCCGCCGTTGAGGAGTTAAATCTGTTTGTTTATGAAGCCCATGGCACACCTGCCTGCATGTGGCTTACACAGTCTTCCTAAAAAGAAGCCTAGATATTCCAGGTTCCTTTGTTGCACAGTCTGTCTAGTATTTCTTATCCACTGCTTTGTTAATAGCTTCCTAGATCCTACAGGGTGATTAAACATCATTTTACAGAGCTGGAGATAAAAACTTCTAAAAGTAAGTTAACATCTGGCTGAACATTAAAGCATATTTACCCCATGCAGGCTGTGAGAGTCACAGCCAGGGTAGGTATGGCAAGGGCTCCACAATCAGAAATAAAAGTGATTTAATGTTTACATGTCAGTGAATTGAGCAGCAAGACTGCAGAAGCATGATCTATACACTAAAACTGCTTCAGCAAAGGGACTCTCCAGTGCCAGGAAAACAAACAGTTTTCCTGGCACTGCAGGTCCCCTCTCCCTCCCACCCCCCATCCCAAGTTGCTGAAGGGGTTAAAACCCCTCCAGTGACTTACCTGTATCCAGATGTCCCTAGGCGCTGGGTCAGGGTCCGCCCACGCTCCTCCCCCGCTGATGTCATCCGGCGGGGGAGACCTATTGAGCATGCGCGGCCGAGACCATTAGACCTCCCCATAGGAAACCATTTAATAATGCTTTCAAATGGGGATTTCAGCGATGCTGGAGGTCCTCACATAGCATGAGGACGTCCAGCGTCGTTATAGCACACTTTTGTGTTCTATGAACATGGAAGTGTCCTCTAGTGGCTGTCTAGTAGACAGCCACTAGAGGAGGACTTAACCCTTCAAGGTAAATATTTCAGTTTATGAAAACTGCAATAATTACACTTGCAGGGTTATGGGTAGTGGGAGTTGGCACCCATACCACTCCAATGGGCAGAAGTGGTCTGGGTGCCTGGAGTGTCCCTTTAAGCTAAACGTTGTTTGGATGCTTATAGTACTCCTTTAAAGATTCTCCATAGAAAGGCATTAAATCAATGCTTTACTATAGAAAATTTGAGGATGCAAAGCGCAAGGACGTCCAACATCATTTCACGGAGTAACACTCCACTGGGTACAAGGAAGCACCTCTAGTGGTTGTACGCAAGACAGCCAATAGACGTGGACTTAATCCTGCTGTTTTACAAAGGAGGAGGGTTAAGGGATAGGGGCACTACACATAGACCACTTAATTAAAAAGTAAAAACAAAATAAATAAACATAATCACCACAGTGTGATACACTCACCATTTCTCACATTCTAGAGTTCCCCCTATTTCGTCCTCCAAGTTTCCCCGAACCCAAAGTGCTTTCCCACCATTTGGTAATTGCAAACTACCAAACACCCTCCTGGCTTGTTAACTGCAAAGTAACCACAAGCTTAAGTGCTCTCCCTGGGTGGCCGCCGTTAATATAACCGAACAACACGTGCTCTAGAAAACGGCGACCATCTTGCCTCCCGAACATGGGCAGTGACACTTGTCCGTCGAGTGTCTGGAACACAAAGACGGATATTTCAACTCCCGAACCTCAGAGACCTCGTGTCGACGCCTGCTTCCGTTCCCGACAAGACAGGAGAGCGATATTCAGTGGAAATGTTTGCACGAACTAGGCGAACATTCGCAACTTACGAGCCAGGAGAAACATTTGTTTGTCTTTGCATGGAAACTTCCGAAAGGTGACCGGCCAAAGCACCAAACACCCTTGAACGGTTTTGGGCATGAGACCACGTGTGCAGTTGGTCAGAACTTTACCCCAGTGGCGATCCGCTAGAATTTATGGATCTGAGCGCTATTTGGACAGCTGGTGAGCTCATATCCATGGATATAATACTTATGGGGGTTCCTATCAGACTAATATGCATTTTGGGGTGTTTTGTATTTTCTGTATTGTACCTTGGGCCATAATAAAACAGTCTCGGCTGATGTTTGGGTAGGTGAGAGTTATAATCACTGCTTCACTTCGAAGATTCTTTAACGGATATACTCAATCAGAATATAGGGGATTCGTCACACACAGTTCCTATGGAACAAAGCATGCAAATGTTACACTCTTGCATAACAAAAGTGTCCATCCATTATGAGATATTACCCCTCCTTCAATAGCACTCTTTCAAGATGCATATTGCATAATAATCAAACACTTTCCTTGCATTCATGCAGATCATTAGTTATGGAGTCCTAATCCAAGAAGTAGGTTTCTTGTGGGTTCAAATTATTTTTTGTTATGAAGTTTTTGCCTCTTCTTTACACAATGAAGCTTTTCTACAGAAGAGTATGGTGCCCCCTTTTTGTAATACTTGTACCCATATTCAGAGCAAACATGTGTGTCCTTTTCAAGTAACACGCACATGTAGGTGTCACTGCACCTACATGATACCGACCAAGTACCATATGGAAGAAAAAAAAGCCCACACCTTTTTTGCTAAGAATCTACTATAAGGTTTGTTGAAGAAACTAACAAATACAAAAGTGTAGCAGTGGGCCAGTAGATGCAAATAACCACTTTAACCACTAATATGAAACTGCTCTTAAACACACTAAAGTAAAGATGGAAGATGAACTGACACTATAATACACCTTAAGAGGTCTTCAGTCAAGTTTCTTATATTGACATGAGATATTGTAATGTAGTTTATTCACTGCATAAGACATTTCATTGCACCGTGACTTCCTCCGTATTAACCAAGTGGTCAGGACACACGTTAATTACATTACTAGAATTAGTATGCGAATACATAAATCCTGAATTGGTGGTGGGCCTTAAGGACTAGTTCGGGAACCACCGTCCATTCCTTAAAGGGAGCCTGCAACCACTTACCTTAGCCTCCGCTCCCTCGCTGTATTCTCATGACAGATGTAAGTGTTCTACTACTATAACACCCACCTTCAGTGCCACAGCTCTACTCATGATTTGAAGAAAACATCCTCAAACAAGACAAACGTCGATTCAGACAAGCTGCCTTGGTTGCCAGCATCTGAACTGAGCGATGGATGCTAGTCACTCCATTCCTATATGTCTTAGTCCGCGCTAACAGCACCGGCTGAGTTACCATAGCAACCACAGCACTTGCAGATGAACTGCCTGTGGGTGGTCTCTACTGTTTATCAATCCATTCCTCGACACAGAGCAGGAGATATGCTACCTCCAGCACTCCAGATGTTGAGTACTACATCACCCAGAATGCTCTTACATCAAAAACATCAGGGGAGATGTAACGTGGAGTGCAGAAGATTGCCTAACCCTACCATGCAGAGTATCTATCTCCCCCCCAGTATGCTCTCTCTCTCTCCCCCCCCAGTATGCTCTCTCTCTCTCCCCCCCAGTATGCTCTCTCTCTCTCTCCCCAGTATGCTCTCTCTCTCTCTCCCCCAGTATCTCTCTCTCTCTCCCAGTATGCTCTCTCTCCCCCAGTATGCTCTCTCTCTCCCCAGTGTCTCTCTCTCTCTCCCCAGTATGCTCTCTCTCTCCCCAGTATGCTCTCTCCCCCTCAGTATGCTCTCTCCCCAGTATGCTCTCTCTCTCCCCAGTATGCTCTCTCCCCCAGTGCAATGTCTCTCCCTCCCCAGTCATGCTCTCCCCAGTGTCTCTCTCTCTCTCCCCGGTATGCTCTCTCTCTCTCTCCCCCCGGTATGCTCTCTCTCTCTCCCAGTGTCTCTCTCTCTCCCCCCCAGTATGCTCTCTCCCCCAGTATGCTCTCTCTCTCTCCCAGTATGCTCTCTCCTCCTCCCCAGTATGCTCTCTCTCTCTCTCCCCCCCAGTATGCTCTCTCTCCCCAGTATCTCTCTCTCTCCCCAGTATGCTCTCTCTCTCTCTCTCCCAGTATGCTCTCTCTCTCTCCCCCAGTATGCTCTCTCTCTCTCTCCCCCAGTATGCTCTCTCTCTCCCCCAGTATGCTCTCTCTCTCTCCCTCAGTATGCTCTCTCTCTCTCCCCAGTGTGCTCTCTCTCTCTCTCCCCCAGTATGCTCTCTCTCTCTCTCCCAGTATCTTGGCTCTCTCTCTCTCCCCAGTATGCGCTCTCTCTCTCTCCCCAGTGTCTTTCTCTCTCTCCCAATTATGCTCTCCTCTCTCTCTCCCCCAGTATGCTCTCTCTCTCTCTCTCTCTCCCAGTATGCTCTCTCTCTCTCTTCCCCCCAATTGTGCTCTCTCTCTCTCTACCCCCAGTATGCTCTCTCTCTCTCCCCAGTATGTCTCTCTCTCTCTTCCCCAGTGTCTCTCTCTCTCTCTCCCCCACAGTATGCTCTCTCTCTCTCTTCCCCCAGTATGCTCTCTCTCTTCCCCGGTATTAATACTCTCCTCTCCCCAGTCCCATGCTCTCTCTCCCCCGGTATTAACTCTCTCTCTCTCTCTCCCCAGTGTCTCTCTCTCTCCCCAGTGTGCTCTCTCTCCTCTCTTCCCCCCAATTATGCTCTCTCTCTCTCCCAATTGTGTCTCTCTCTCTCTCCCCAGTATGCTCTCTCTCTACTGGTGTCTCTCTCTCTCCCCCCAGTATGCTCTCTCCCTCCCCCCCAGTGTGCCCCCCCAGTATGCTCTCTCTCTCTCTCCCCCCCAGTACGCTCTCTCTCTCCCCCCAGCTCGCAGGGTATGATGGGAGTTGTAGTTCCGGCCTGTCTCTCCCTCACCTTCATGGGGTCGGCCTGGTAGAGTTTCTCTGCGGCCCGGGCGAACTCCTCCCAGGTGCGGTGATAAGGCATGCTGCGGCCGTGCGCTGTGACAGACTGGGAGACGGCGAGCCGGGATCACACATCAGCACTCAGCGCTCCCCCGAAACCGTCCCTGATTGGCTGCCGCTGTGACCTCCGACCAATCACAAGCCACCACAGAGCGCAACGCGCGCACTACTTCCGGGTCACCGGAAATGACGCCACCACTCTATGGAAGCAGAGAGAGCCATGAGCAGAGCTGCTCATACTGGGTGTGCAGAACACCGCCCCCATCGGCCACCCAGGGTATTACCGCCTTCCCATCGGTCACCCAGCGGTATTACACCGCCCCATCGACCACCAGCGTATTACACCACCGCCCCCATCGGCCACCAGCGTATTACACCGCCCCCATCAGCCACCCAGCGATACACCGCCCCCATCGGCCACCAGCGTACACACCACCCCATCAGCCCACCCAGCGGTATTACACCGCCCCATCGATCACCAGGGTATTACACACGCCCCATCTGTCACCCAGATTACACGCCCCATGACCACCAAAGCGTATTACACGCCCCCATCAGTCACCAGCCGGTATTACACGCCCCCATCTATCTGCTTGGTATTACACACGCCCCCATCAATCACCCAGCGCATTACACACCCCCATCGGCGTACACCCAGCGTATTACACGCCCCATCTGTCACCCATTACACACTTCATCGACCACCAGGGTATTACACGCCCCCATCATTACCAGAGTATACACGCCCCATCGATCACCAGCGGTATTACACCGCCCCCATCGGCCACCCAGCGGTATTACACCGCCCCCATCTGTCACCCAGCGGTATTACACCGCCCCCATCGGCCACCCAGCGTATTACACCGCCCCCATAGGTCACCCAGCGGTATTACACCGCCCCCATCTGTCACCCAGCGGTATTACACCGCCCCCATCGGCCACCCAGCGGTATTACACCGCCCCCATCCGTCACCCAGCGGTATTACACCGCCCCTATCCGTCACCCGGCGGTATTACACCGCCTCCATCTGCCACCCAGCGTATTACACCGCCCCCATCTGTCACCCAGCGGTATTACACCGCCCCCATCTGTCACCCAGCGGTATTACACCGCCCCCATCGTTCACCCAGGGGTATTACACCGCCCAAATCTGTCACCTAGCGGTATTACACCGCCCCCATAGGTCACCCAGCGGTATTACTCCGCCCCCATCGGTCACCCAGCGTATTACACCGCCCCCATCGATCACCCAGCATATTACACCGCCCCCATCGGTCACCCAGGGGTATTACACCGCCCCATCGGTCACCCAGTGGTATTACACCGCCCCCATCTGTCACCCAGCGGTATTACACCGCCCCCATCGGTCACCCAGCGGTATTACACCGCCCTCATCGGTGACCCAGGGGTATTACACCGCCCTCATCGGTGACCCAGGGGTATTACACCGCCCCCATCGGTCACCTAAGGGTATTACACCGCCCCCATCGGTCACAGAGCGGTATTACACAGCCCCCATCGGTCACCAAGGGGTATTACATCGCCCCCATCAGTCACCCAAACATACAGCACACACAATCCCTCCAAACATACAGCACACACACACACACATACAGCACCTACACACATACAGCTCACACACACACAGCACACTAACCACACCCTCACAAACACACACAGCACCTTTAAAAAAACACAACACCCTCACACACAGCACACTAACAGCACCCTCACAAACACACACACAAACAGCACCCTCACAAATACACGACACTCACACAAACAGCACCCTCACAGGACAAACAAACACACAAACACCCTCACACACAAACAGCACAGTCACACACACACACACAAACACCCTCACATCACACTAACAGCACCCTCACACACACATCACACTAACAGCACACTAACACAGCACACTAACATCACACACAGCAGTGTATGTGTGTGTGTGTGTGTATATATATATATACACACACACACATGCGGCGTGTGTTTGTGCTTTAGGGTGCACACCCTAATGCAATAGGCTGTGCACGCCTATGGGTGGACTAACAGACACGTATTTGTAACCAGACAAGTTTGACGCACAGCAATGGCTCCATAAGCGTGGACAACTGCAGGGAGGTGTCTCTGACTGTAGGCCCCAGCAAAGCAGCCATTTTGGATGCTAGGCCTCAGCTCTCCAAAGACTTCGGTCTTGGCCAGGTGTCCGTGCAAAACCTCCAGTGGGGACCAGGATAACCCCCACCGGTCCAGAGGGGGGAGGAACAGGGTTCAGATACAACAAGCTCCAACAGTAGGCAGAGGGTAGGCTGCCTCCCTGGCCTCAAATGCATCTGTATTCCGTGGGTAAGTCTTGCACGGCCGTGTACACCATGTGCAGACAAGATTGGTGTCAAATGAACTGCAAGATCTTCCCCAGGGTTGTGGTCAAGCTTTGTAGACAAATTGGTGACAATAAAGTCCAGGATTAGATTTTCCCTGAGGAGCTTCAGCACCATGCGACTGCTCTAGTCTGCTGCAGGTCCCGCCCCCTCTGCTTTTGCAGACTTTCCCAAAAACGGGATGCTCTCCTGCCTTCAAGAATTGCTCTCTGTTTCACATCCGCAAGCCTCCCAACAGTCTCGATTTCGGCTGGACAGTCACAATTTTTGGTTCCTTTCCCACGATCCTGATTTTTTTTCTCCTGTATCCTGCATTTGAAGACACCAAAGAACTATTCCAAGAAAGCACAGAACAAAAACATCATTAGACACTGTCACATATTATAGACAGTTCGTAACCATCTTCTACAGACAGACTATAAGTGACCCCATTGTGTTGAATACGAAGTTTTGTAGGAAATCCCCACCAGTAGAGGATGTTGGCCTTTTTTTAACGCTTGAGTGATGAAGGAGTATTCCCTCCACTTGGCCAATATGGTAGGTGAGAGATCCATGAACATTTGGATATAAACAAACTGCTCATTCAGGGATCTTATCGCTTTCAGAATTCTTTCTTTAACTGTATAGAAGTGAATGCACCCTATGAACTCTCTAGGTGTAGAGGCATGCTGGTGCTTAGTACACAGCAGTCTGTGAACTAGGTCCAGGAGTAAATCTCTTCAGATCTACAGAGGGCAGCAGGACTTGGAAGCAAGATTGTAAAAAAATCATTCAGTACCGCATTGTCCACCAATTCATTGATGCCCCTAAGGCTTAAATTGTTCCTCCTAGAACAAACTTCTAAATTGTTCAATTTTAATTCCTCCGCTGTCATTCTGTTTTTAGAGCTTCATGCGTGTTCGCCATTGAGTTGGATCTCTGTAGTTAGAGTGGAGTTAGAGTGGAGATGCTGCCTTGCAGTTAGACCTGTAGGTTGTCTAACATCTTTTGTATGGTTACTTCAGTCACTGCTGGTGGTGCCTGTGCTGAGAGCATGGACACATCACTGTCTGCTATACTAGAGGCTGATGATATAGACATGATTTTGCCATCTTGGAGCTTTTGCCTTTGTGGTTCGGCGGCTAGATGCAGTCTTCCTCCTGCCAATATATGGTGTTTAGAGTCGGTGAACGCATCTCAGTACAGTTTCAAGGTGCCTAGGATAGCTTATATTTATTTAGTCATCTTCACCGGACGCTTTGTGTCCCTGCACCTCACTCCTTCTGCTTTCTGCCCCTCTACTGTCCTGTGTCTGCTGGCTGCATGAGTCTGGGATTGCTACAGAATTCAAATGGTGCATGCAGAAAATAAACTATTTAATCATGAATCCTGCAGCGGGTAGATACTGAAGGGTAGCAAGAAGACATTTTATGGCTTATTCAATAAACAGAAACCAGGGATGAATATCGTAGTCATTGCTGCTACAATAGTACTTACAGTTGGCCGAAGGAGTTGTGTCCCCAGCATGATCACATACACAATGCAGGCAATGCAAAACATCTGCAAGACCAAAGGATATGTTCCAATGATTTACTTTATTCCACCATTAACTGGAACCAGCAATGTGTCACCTTTTATAGCTTTTACCATGCCAAAAAAGTCTAATTGTGCCACTAGTGCTCCCGTCCTTTGATCTTTCTTAGTGGGGTCATAAAACTTGGCCTCAGTTAGCAGTGCAGGTTCCATTTAATAATACACACCTAGGTCAGAGTAGCTTCAAATAAACATATAACAGTTAAAATAAATATATATTGGCTCAAAATGTCAACTCACCACTAGCTATTTGACAGCTAAGTGTGTATAAATATATGTATGCACATTCTCCCTACTTGCAAAGTATTTTGTATTGGAGTATAGTGTATGCAGCTTTGTAGAGGCATGCAGGCAGGGCCGTCTTTTCCCATGGGCTTGCTGGGCAGTTGCCAGGGTTTGATCTCCCCTGCTGGCCCATGGAGAGCCGGCCCTGTTTTCTTCCCGTGGGCCCTCTCGGGCCGGTGCGGAGATCAAAGATCTCCCTCACCATCCCAAAGGCCCTTCGTTAGAGGAGAGAGAGGGAGGTCTCGGAGGCAGGGGGAGGGACCTGGGAGGAAGAATGCTCCCCGCGTGAGCAGTCCATGTGGAGTGTTGCCGCGCATTGCCATGGCAACACACCACAGAGCATTCTGCGCGCGGGAGGACAGGAGACAGCCTGCAACCAGATTTGCTGCAGGCTGAACAGAACTCACCACCGGACCACAAGGGCTAAGGGAAGACATAAAGATTTTAATAATCATTAGTATTATTATTATTTTTTTATTATTTTTAAAAAAAAAAAAACAACACTAATTTGCTCCCTGCACCCCTCACACTCTGCAACCCTCACATACACACGCACTGCACTCCTTATACACAGCACCCTTACACGCACAGCACCCCTGACACACAGCACCCTCTCACACACACAGCACCCCTCACAATCAGCACCCTTTACACACTGTACGCCTCAAAAACACACTGCACCCCTCAAACACATACACCGCACCCCTCACTGCAGTCTGGGTGTATTCAGCAGTGTGTGTGTATTCAGCAGTGTGTGTGTGTTTGTATTCAGCAGTCTGGGTGTATTTAGCAGTCTCTGTATGTGTATTCACCAGTGTGTATGTGTGTGTGTTTTTATTCAGCAGCCTGTGTGTTTGTGTGTATTCAGCAGTCTCTGTGTGTGTTTGTGTGTGTATTCAGCGAA